GGGGGCGGATAGAAAGAGGGAAAGGCCAGGGGGAGAGATGGCCAAAGGAGAGAGGCGCCAGCTTGTCGAATGTGCGCGAAGAGGGACGACGCCCTTGCGCCTGTTGGGAAACATACCAGCTGGGAGATGCGCGCCTGCCGGGCAATGCTGGCCGTGTGGGTGCGGATCTTCTTACTCTCCGAGAGGGAAACCAACTCGGCCGGGATGCGCGCCTCCGCGAAGTGATCCAGATTGAATGACTCCGGGATGCAGCCGTAGAAGTATCGGCCGACAAAAGGCTCGTTGGCCGAGGCGGAGCCCGACTGAGAGGAGGCCGCCGACGATGTGGCGCCCGCCTCAGAACCCGGGGGCATGGCAGCCCCACCGGACCCGGTGCCGCCGGCGCCCAAGATGGCTTCCTCAGATGGGGGAAGCAGAACCGGCTTGTCCAGCGGCGGGGGAAGGTCCCCGGCAAAGGCCTCCACCGCGGGGATGGTCTGGTGCACACCGAAGGTGGCATGATCCTAAAAAGAAAAAAGAAAAAAGAGCGAGCATATTCCAAAGGAGAAGGACGGGAAGAGGGACAGGGAGGCACCGGCGCAGCATGGGTGTCAGCAATCGACGGGGCACCTGCGGGGGGTTTGCTGCTCCCCCGGGCAAGGGAGGAGGCGCGTGCATCAATGTGAGGCCCGTACATTTAGGAAGGGCGTGGTGTCCTTGAATTGGAAGAGAGACCGGCTGACGGAGCGGTTCTTCCGCGACTTGATCAGCTCGTCGAAGTAGAGCACCTCGTACTCGTCTGCCGCACGGACCACGCGCTCGATGCAGAACTGCAACATTGCCTGGGTGGCCAGGAACATGGTCATGAACTGGTGGGTCTGGACGAGCGAAGAGCCGGGGAGGGGGAGAGGGAGAGAGACAGAGCAGGAGGGAAGATGGTTTAGCCAGGATGCGCGTGTGTCGACGCACATGCGCACGCACAAGAAAGAGACACGCGGGGGCAAGAAAAAAAATTTGGCGGAAGCAGGGGCCTCCTTCAGGAAGGGACACGCACCGGCTTATCGGCGCGCAGGCTGGCCAGGAAGGCATTGGTATCCAGCAGTGTCGGGCTCGCGGGGCTGGCCCATTCCTCATCGGTTGGATGGCGAAGGAATTTGCGATACGACTGCATGAGCTTGGCGAACATGCGCAAGAAGGCGTCCTGGATGTTGGCCTCATTGACCACAGAGCCCAGGGAGTCTTGCTGGCCGCCTTGCTGGTCGGCCGGCCAGAGGGCCGTGTCCGTCGAGTATTCCGACATCCCGGAGATCGAGGCCGCCGAGGAGTTCAGCGAGGAGTAAGAGTGCGACAGGGAGGTTGGCGAGGCGCTCGAGTCGGTGCCCCCCCCGGCCGAGGGGGTCAGCGTGTGCACGCTCAGTGGCCGGCTGTTCGGCCGACCAGTGATCGATGCAGACCGCGCCCGCAAAACACCTGGCGGCAGAGGAGGCTGTCCATGCTGGCCGGGCTGGCCGGGCCTGATGGTGGAGCTGGCTGCACACACAGAAGTCCATCGCAAGCCGAGAAAAAGCGATGCGTTGACACATGGGTGCATATGTGTGTGTGTGTGTGTGTGAGGGTGTGAGTGAACAGACGCGTGTATGAATGGATGCACATAGGTGTCTGGTCGGGCATGTGCACAACCATGGGGAGAAAAAGGAGGAAAGAAGGCGCGCGGCGCACCGGTCAGCGCCTTGTTGGCAACTGGTGGGACAGCAGGAGAAGACCGGGCCGACCGGATGCGGGCCAGCTCGGCGGCCACGACATGGCGCGGGGGGCGCGGCGGGAGGGCCGGGGCTGGGGATTCAGCCCCAGGTGAGGTCGACCGCGAGGTGTTGAGCGACAGCTCTGGAGCTGATTGTGTCTGGCCAGACGCCGAGCCGGACCCATAGATGGATGGACCCTTGGACCCGGCGCGCGGCGGCAGCTGGTGTTGCTGCTGCTGCTGCTGCTGCTGCTGCTGCTGCTGCTCGATCGAGCGGAGCATCTGGCGAACACTGCCAGGAGCCGGGCCGGGGGTGGCCCCGGCACCGGGGACCGGCGGGTGCTGGGGCCCGGTAGACGTGTCAGGCCCCGGAGCACCAGCCCGGGTGCCCACCCGGGACATTTGCTCCGGAGTCAGTAGGTCGGCGAGGCGGACCTCCGCACGCGGGGCCGGGGGCCGCGGAGGGGGAGCATCGACCGCGGCCGGCAGCGGGGGCGTCGTCACTTCGGTCGAGGGGGTCAACGGTGTGGGGGTCAGCTGGAAGGAGAGCTTGCTGAAGCGGCGACTCGACCGGCCGGAGGAGAAGTTTCGCCGGAGCGCTGCCGCCGGGCCTCCCCCGACACTGGGAGACTGCGCGGTCACCGGCGACCCGGCGGCCAGGGGCTGCTCCTCGAGGGAATCCAAGCCACCGGGGCTGCCGGCTGCGAAGGTGGTGCTCATGGAGAGATGCGAGGACTTCCGATCGCCGGAGCTCTTGGCGCCACGTCCCCCGCGAGTGGACTGCTGCTCCTGCTGCTGGGCGGCCTGCTGGGCATTGCGCGCGGCCATGGACACATTCGACACTGGCCGGTGGGAATTCAACGAGAAGGAGTTCAGCCCTCGAACAGAGGGCTTGGTGGAGATGGTCGAGCGTTCGGAGGGCTCCGGGCTCATCTGGGAGTAGGGCGACGCCAGGCTCGAGTTCGGGTCGTGGGCCGCGCCCGCGGAAGAGGAAGAGGCCAACTTGCTGCCGAGTGGCTTCAGGCAGTGCATCAGCCGGGTTTCAAGCTTGGCTCGATCATACGCTGGCAGAGGAACTGGCAGGTCGTCGCCCATGTGCACGACATTGGCATCCAGATCCACCAGATGAACCTGGGGCGAGCAGAGGAGGGACCTGGCGGTTAGTTGAGCTTGGGAGGGGGAGGGGGGG